CTGAAATTAAGACCCCCGCATCTGAACCCCACACAAGACCCTCTCCTCGATTAATATGTTGATCGTTTGCAACATGGTATAATTATTATCATCTCTGCTTGTGGCCTTTGATGTGGCGACACGCGCCCAAGGTTAATAATTCTGACGGTCAAGCCTCCTCTTCAATGCCACAAAATACCCGTCGCCCCCGCCCTCTTTTTCGCTACTTACAGCATTCGGGGTTCTGCGTAGTCCGCTTCTAGACGCGAATGTCGGTCCTGGGTGACTATCCTCAAGTCAACTCCCACATTGTCCAATAACAGTATTACTACCCACACAACCAAACTAAGGGAACAGAACGGGGTATATCCATGGGGGAGACGCTGGTATGGAGGGGTAAGGGTGTGGGGTACCACAGACCCCGGGTGGGAATAAGGGGTAGGAACGATGGGTAGGTTCCCTGAGTACACCGGAGGTCATGACTATCCCAAGTCACTACCTAAATCTTGTCAACGAGACCGGTACATACCACACAACAAAAGACCTGTTGCAATACATCGCGATTGTTTCTACAGTTACTCAACTGCAAAGGAGAATTTTGAGCACACCAGGTACAGACATTTCTCTTCTCGTGATTTTATGTGAATTTCCTGCTGTTCCTCTGTTTTACCTCTGTCTACTGCCTTTGAGAATCCTTTTGGTGAAAACTGCTATATTTTCTGAGTTTCTTGAAATCTTTTTTGTTACGAATATCATATTTTTGTTTAGCACGAAAACAGAGAGTTGTTACTTAGCCCTGCATCATCTGTTCAAGATCCTCCACCCTCTTTCTCCTTCCCAGGAACGGAAAACATTACAAAAACTGCGACTCCTTCCAGCCGATAATCGGTCCCCTGGGGGTTTTTCCCTGGCATGAAGGCGGGTAGGGAGTGGACTGGGGGGGTTGTGTGTGGGTTAGGATGTTGGGGTGTGGAGGTGTGTTTTTTTTTTTTTCTTTTTGGTTGTTTCTCTTTGTTTTTTTCTGTTGCTGCTGTGGCTTTTTCGTTTTGTGCTTTTTTTGGGTTTTTCTTTGCCGTTGGTTCTCTTGGTTTCTTTCTTTTTTTCGTTGTTTTTTTTGTCTTGTTATTTTTTTTTGTGTCGCTTTCTTTATACTTCTTTATTTTTTTTTTTTTTTTTGTTGTTTTTATTTTTGTCTTTTCTGTTTGTTTTCTTGTTTTTGGTTTTTTTTTTCTGTTTTTTTTTTTCTTCTTCTTTTTATTCTTGTTTTCTTAATTTTGTCTTCTTTCTTTTTTTGTCTTTTTTTTGTTTGGTTTCTTTTTTTCTTTGTTGTTTATCTTTCTTCTTCCCTTATGTCTCCCCTCCCCCCCCCTTGCTCTTCGTCCCCCCTTTCCTCTTCCCTCTTTTTCCTTTTCTCTCTCTCCCCCCCCATCCCTTTTTTTTTTTTTTCTTCTCCTTTCTTTTTTTTTTCCCCAACATTGCTCTTTCTCATTATGTCTGCTGAATTGCCTCCTGCTGTGTCCTCGGTTTACCGATTCTCCCGTCTTCTACGGATTTTGGCAATTCTGCGTTTTCTGCTGGTCTGCGCCTGGCTGAGACAGAGAGCCGTTTTCTTTGTACCATACACGATCGTACGCTGTGTCTCCCTCGCCGTTAGACCGACGGCGTTCATGTTGTGGGGTGACCCACTGGGCAGTCTCTACAGCCCCCGAGTCCCCTCCCACCACATCATCTCTCACATCCAGAACACCTACTACCCTACACCTCTCAACCCGTCGTAATGACTTTGTCACTGGAAACGTCTCTTTCAGGTTGGTTCACCAATAGTAGGTGTTTTTGAGCTCTCCCATACTTGTGTTAAAATATAACAGTAAAGAGACAATTTTTGTGTGTCTCTCTCTCTTTTTCCTCCTCCATTCCCCTCTCCTCCTCTTCTCTATATATCTGAGTCAGTTAGGACCCATAATGACCCAGATGATGAAATTCAGTTGGTTGCTTTTATTCACATTCATCTTCAGTTTTTTCCAGAAATTATGTACCACCATGTTTCGACTAGAGCTAGGCTCATTTGTGCATGCTAATACTCCCAGTTCATAATCTCCCTTTTTTCTCTGTACTTCTCTCTCTTGCTCTCTCTCTCTCTCTCTCTGCTCTCCTCTCTCTCTCTCTCTCTCTCCTCTCTCATCTCTCTCTCTCCTCTCTCTCTCTCCTCTCCCAGCTGTGAACAAGGTACTGGACGGTTAATGAGCAAAGCCAGTAGTCCCACAACTGAGACTGAGACCAAAACTCTCTCCCCCTCCTCCCTCCTCCTCCTCCTCCTCCTCCTCATGACTTCCTATTGTCTAAAGTTTTTTTATTGCGCGTGCGCACATTTTTTGTTACAAATCACGTGATTCCTAGCGGCCACGCCTGTGTTCATTTCTCGATCGACTGGGTTTTGTGCTTTTCTGCGCAGCGTTCCGACAGTTTTCGAGGCCCGCTTTCGATCGACGAGAGGTCGACCACTGCGACACAGTAGTAGCAGCGCCAGAAGTAGTTCACGTGACTCAGAGATGGCTACTGGAGGAGGGACCAAGTCTGGACGTGGAAGAAACGTAAGACATCGCCCGCGAGCCGCGCGCCCCACACACAGAGGAAAATAAAATGATAACTGTTAGATTATGACTGCCCAGTGAATGATGATGATGGTATTGTCTGTAGGTTGAAGATAGATGACGTAATTTTTGTTTTGTATGACGTCATCACTATCCGCATCGTCTTGTAAATGTCGATAAGTTGTGTGTGTTAATGATGATGTCATTGTCTTTCCTCGCAGCACTCCCTCAAGTAAGCCGCACTCAGGAGGTCTTTGAGAACACCAGTGACCTCGGTTACCTCTGGCCTCTGGCTCTTCATCCCTGATGATAAGTGGGATGTTGACAGTGCTGAGTACTATGTACAGAGTACAGATCCAATGAAAATGAGAAGGATGATATTCCTGCTGACTGGATTGGAGACACAGTTCTAGCAGACTCATTGATGGAGTATGCAGAGCCCCATCAGGTATGGCTACAATAGAGACACAACACACGCCAGTCAATTGTATACCTCTGGCTATATTGAAACCCACCACAGCATAGCTGTGTGTACATCATCAGGGGTTCATTTAGAAATCAATCCAAGGGTGTGTGTGGTGGATGTAGATGATGTATGGTTTCCGGGTGGGGATGCTGGGGCACAGCTGTCTCTTTGTGTTTGCAGCACACGGCAGTAGGGGTTTCTGGAAGCATGCTCCCCAGGAATTTTTAATGCTCTGAGAATTGCTTCTGGTGTAGTCTCAGGTCTTTCTAGAGAAGTTTAATTTTCAGCTTAAATAACTGTAAAAGTGACTGTGTGGCAATAGCACACTGGAAACCAAGAACCAAGTACCGTACCCCTCCCACACAGAGGGTTAACTACTGTGTGGCAATAGCACACTACACAGCTGTCTGCCTAGGTAAGTCTTGCACAATCAAAGTATGTAGTTTACAAGTCTTGTGAATGATGTCATTACTTGGACTAAAAATAGTTGCCAGCTGCCTAGCTGTGAAGTATGATATTATGTGAGTCGGCTTTAGTTAAGCAAGTCTATGTCGATATGGGCATTAGATCTTACTTTAGAAGCTCCTGTAAACCATCTACGATAGTATATACCTACTGGTTTAGGTGGCATAGTGACTATAGTGTGTGGTACTGTAGTTGCTGCAGTTGCACGCCAGTCAGGCTTGTTTTGCATATTTAAAGGTTTACTTTAACTCCAAGGGGGGGCGAGATTTGATCAAGGGGGCGAGCACCCCCCTCTGCCCCCCCTAAATGAACCCCTGATCATGTTGACATGTGGAAGACTAGATTTTGTGAAACTGTCTTGAAGTAGCCTTCTTCCCTGACTCTCCCTCTGCATTATAATAGGTTTTGCTGGAAACAAAAAGCACTGAAGTATAATAAATTATTATAATACAAAATCCTTAATGAAAAGGCACCCTCGGTGCAAGGATCGTGCATGCAGCGTTGATATGCACTTTACACATGCTCTTAACATGATTAATGTTTGGGAATAGATTAGTTTCAATTGATGACAGTGGCTGGTCCTCTCCTCAGATCCATCCCTCAATCCACACCTCCTCATACCAGTCTTTACTGCCATATCTGGAGACTGGGGGAAGATTGATGTGCTACACTACAGTACCAGATGCCAGGGCTGCTCTCTTCCGTGAGAAGTTCAGTGATCGTGATCAAGTCACTGCTGAGGCTGGGAAGTACTACGCTCTCTATCATCATGATCCCAGCTGGAAAGACTTATCCCGCATCTCTATGAAGCAGGAGAAACAAAGGCTGTGGGGATTGCCAAACCTCACGTACAGACTGTGATTGGTATGTAATTGACTAGCGAAGTTAGCCTAACTTGTCGTCTGAATGAATGTGAGTCAGTGAGTGATGGACATTGCATACCAATGTTCTACGTGATTCTCACACTCACTCACCAATTAATTGGGGAGTGAAGCGAGCCCACCTACATAGGCGTCTGAATGTGGAATTTTACCATATTATATATTTATCTGGTGAACAGACCCACATACTGTAATGTTTAGCATTAAACATGTGAAATATTGATTCACTCGCCACTACATACCATAATATTCAGTGCTAAAACGTGTGAAATATTGAAATGCTCACTTCACTCGCCAAGAATGTCCTCTAGAGTGCTTGCATTCCTTCTAGTAACAATTATACACTCACATGTTTACATGTACTACTTGTACTTTATGTGTTAGGAACACATGTAGTAACAACAGTTCCAACACACTGTCCTGTATTTGGCCTACACTCACACATGTACATTGTACTTGTGTGTACTGCCCTCCCTGATCCCCTCCCCAAAGACCTGCACTTGAGAGTCAGCTAAAACTGTGTGTCATGCACTGGACCATTACATGTGGACTAACACATTCACTGTGTCAATCATGTCTTCATGCATGTTCAACGAAGCATACCTCTGTGTACTATGGATGTTACTAATTTTAGCAGCTGTGTGTATTAATATTCATACCTAACCTTGCCTATACATTTGTGATAGGAAACAATAGTCACTGAATATTCTCCCTCTCTCACTCCTCCAGACCCCAGCCTGACTCCAGCCAACATCCTACAAGTCACACGCCATGTCCCACTGTGGAGTAGTGGGGATTCCTACAACCAGCTTGACATGCCAGAGAGCCAGCATGATGAGATAGTAGGAAAGTTTGATGATGATGAGGAGGCGAAACGAGAATTGATCACTACATGGCTGGCCGGTCACCCCTGTCCTACCTGGGAACACGTTAGGCAGCTACTGGAGGGTGGAGTTGGGGGTGAGGAGGGAGAGAGAGCAGCACGTGAGGTGGAGGAGACATACCTCAAGAGTGAGTTAGTAATCATTACGTTTGTCAACAACAACATCGAGTTTACATTATGATTGTTGTAATGACATGATTCGAAGGGTGATAGTGAAGCCAGTGCTATATCTTTAGCTAAGCATTGTTCATTGGACACATGCAGCTTCAGTGTACAATGTACATGAGCATCTATGTACCTACATGTCTAGTGTTGGGTGTGTTTTGTGGTTTGTAACCAGATGTACACGTAATTTAGATGTAACAAAGGTTTTACAGAAAGTGTGTGTGCCCTTTTAATTTGTGAGTGCCTGAAAGGGGGACATATGCCCTCTCTCCATCCTCTATATGATGAAGTTCTTTTAAAGATTGCTATTGTACCTGCAGTGACTCCCGAGAAGGCCAAACAGATCCTGGACGCTGCCCTCCAGGACGGCTCCTTCCCACTGGGCTTTCTGAAGTCCATGGCAGTAGGAGTGGCTCGCTCGGGGAAGACGCTCTCCAAGAATCACGTCTTCAAAATCAAGTGCGACCCGAACTGCTCCGTTAGTACAGGAGTGTGTGAGGCTCCGATCTTGGCCTTTCGACAGCTTACTTTGGAGCTGATCAAAGCTTTGCCTTCTGCAGAGGGGTTCGAACTACTCAAGTACGAGGATATCAATCAATTTCTGGCTTACGTGGTTCGCAAGGGTTTGCTTAAAGGAAGGGTAGCGAAAGTGGTGAAAGAAATGGTGCAGGCTGCTAGCGAAGGCTCCAGTTCATCTGATAGAAGTGAGGGTGTAGCTGCAAGTAGTGTAGGCACTCAAGCCTCAACAGCTGTAGTCGGTGCAGTCTGTGCTGCCAGCAAAGCCAGGGTCGAGGCTGAAGCTAAGGCTAGGACTAAGGGAAGTGGTCCAAAAGAAGAGCCACTCTTCAAGCTGCAGATAATCCTGTTCCTGGACAGCGGAGGACAGCCTCAATTCCACGAGGTCGTTGCAGCCTTCAGTCACAACGTGTCCCTCGTCCTGGTCTTCATCAAGCTCAACGAGCGTCTGGATGCTCTGTGCACCAATGCCTTCACCGACGAGGAAGGAAAGTGGTTTACGGAGCAATGCCCCTCACTGCTCACCAACGAGCAGATGGTGGTCCAGTTTGTCCACACCATGATGTGCAAGCCCGTGGCCGGCAGCGAAGGCATGCACACCAGGTTCATGGTGATCGGCACTCACAGGGATCTGATGCACGAGTGCGACGAAACCCTGGAGCAGAAGAACGAGAGGCTGGCCAGCCTGTTTCTACCGGCTCTGGAGGAAAACCTGGTCATGAATGGCGACGACATCATCTTTGCCGTCAACGCCAAGAATCCCGACGAGAATGACGACAAATGCTTCGATCTGATCCGCGAGAAAGTGGCGGACTTGAGCGGGGCCCTGGATGTGGATACCCCGATAGCGTTCCTCGTGTTGCTGAACGACGTGAACAAGTACGCGGAAGAGCAGGGAAAGAAGGTAGTGAGCATGGAGGAATTCCAGGCCATCGCTGGGAGGCTGAAGATGAAGCGACAAAGTCTGGAGGCTGCCTTGGTTTTCTTCAACGAGATGAGCGTGTGGATGTACGTGCCGTCGGTCCTCCCTGGTGCGGTGTTTGTCGACCCTCAGATGCCACTGGACAGCATAAATCGAATCGTCCAGTACAGCTTCCGGGTGGGGGGTGGTGCGATTACAGGGCTGGCTGCGAGCGAGTGTCGACTGTGGAAGGAAGGGGTGGTGAGCAGCGAGATGCTGAAGGGAGAGGAGTTCCGTGGTTGCTTCGTGAGGGGTCTGTTTGAGGCAGGCGATGCTCTGAAGCTGTTCGAGAAGCTTTACATTGTAGCTCCTCTGAACGAGAGGGAGTTCATAATGCCTGCCATGCTCCAGACGGTGGCAGAGAAGGATATGGAGCGATATGTGCCTGCCCCCAGTGAGCACGTGTCCCCTCTCTTTCTCCACTTCCACATGTCCCGCATCGCTAAAGGTGTGTTCTGCTCCACCCATACCTGCATGCGCTCCAAGTATGGGTGGACCACGGCTTACACCATGGTAAAAAGTAAGAAAGTTCCTGCTTGTCTCTTCCGCAATGCCGTGCGGTTGCAGCATCCGACAAAAGCAGTTAAAATTACTCTTCTCCATGCTTTGAAGCATTTCGAAGTTCATCTCGATGCATCGCAGGCCGACCTGCCCATCATCTGTCCAGAAATCCGTGACATGCTCATGGATGCAGTGGATAGTGCAGCGAGTGCTTTCCGCTTCAAGAATTCGCGAGCCTCTGTAGCCTTCCAGTGCCCCTGCAGCCCAGACGACGTGCACACAGCCACTCCAAATGAAGACTTCTCTATGCTGATTTGCAAAATGACGGAAGATAAAATTCGAGGTCCCCTCACTCCTGCTCAGAGGGTGTGGCTTGGACCACGCACTGCTCCAGGTGAGACTTCGGATTGTGTGTTTGACTTTGTGTTTAAAACCCTTCAGTAATGTTTTTGAGGCTGATACTAATTCTCTCCTCTCCCTTCTACAGGTACCTCTTCTTCCTCTGCTAGTGTCCCTGTGACCTTGTCCTCTGACCCTCTCTGCCCGTCCTCCACACAGAAAGTACTAAGTTTGTTTTCATCCTCATCCTCCACTACTCCTTCTCACCAACATCTCTCTGCACCTCCATCAAGAATGGGTATGTTTTACACTAAGTTTCGTACAGTGAATTACTATGTAGCACATTGTGGTAGTAGTGACAATGACATGGTTCTAGTGACTGGTCACCACCACCATATCCCACTAGTGAGTCAGAAGGTTATCCATACATAATGTGGTGTCCACTCAGTGTGGTATGATGTGTGGTTTTTGAAGTTGTTCCTCATGTGTGTTCCCTGCAGTCCCCCAGTTGGTCAGTAGCTCACGGACGGGAGAGAGAGACACAACACGGAGTGGAGGTCTGTTACTGACTCTCTCTCTCTCTCGCTTTAACCTAGTCTTCATGTTTCAAATCCTACTGTTTGAGCTTGGTTCTAGCGAGTTCTGAAATCTGATTGGTCAATCAGTTGTAGGATGGCTGCATGCGAAGCGTATGCCATTATACAATATTCAGTAAACCCAAAAATGCTCAGATATAATATGTATGTATATTCAACTTGTACAAACAGTATCCCAGACCCAATTGGTGTATCAAAACTGTACACAGAACATGTTACCTCCATAAATCAACAGTGGCGAGGGTTATGCACTTTCAAGTGTGTTTCAGTCTTTACAAGTATAGGTTTGATGATCATCAAACCTACTTGGTATATATATGGTTCTCCTGAATTCCCTATAAGGAAAGCAAAGTGGGTGCAGTTGGTGTTAGTACAGCTAAGTGGCTGCTACTACTGGCCAATAATTGTAATGTGCCGTTGCTGGGGTAACGTATACCAATGTGTGTTAACGTTGAAGAAACCTTATAAATGTATATTTTGTTACTGTATAGTAACCGCTTGTTGACCAGCCATCTATTTTTTGTCCTCTTTACTTCAGACGCACTTAGAAAAGAAGGCAGTTCTACAGCTGAGTGTTCCAGTCCTCAAGATGGTTCACTTGGTAAGACCTGTGCCGTTCATTACTATGTTGCCAGTTTGTGTTGTATAAATAATTGTTTTCCTTCCATTCGTATGGTCACAGTAACTACACATGTTTATATATAATATTATATGTTGACTGCAGGAGAGGAAGATCTGGTGGAGATAACAGACCAGCTGATGGATCTGAACCAGCCTGAGATCTACAACCTGGGTCTGGTCCTGGGACTGGCTCATCGCCGTGTGGTGGATCTGAGAGAAAACAGCAGATCCAACCAGGCCTTCCTGGATGCAGTGGTCCTACACTGGCTGCAGAGAGACGACCATGTGAAGGAGGTGTCCTGGGCAGCTCTTGTTAAGGCTCTTCGCCACCAGAGACTGGGTCACACTGGAATTGCCACCTCCATTGCCAGAGAATATGGAACACAATTATGACCATTTAATTGCGTTACTGCTTCTATATATACACTCGCAACGAGGGTAGGAATGGTTTTATGTTTGAAGTTGGCAGCAGAAAGGTTCATGCAAGCCATTCGCACCATTCAAAATTGCCTCATTTTGGTCTCGGATATTTTTCCAGCAGCTTAGAAAGGTCTGCTGTGGGGAGAGTTTGTGGACGAAAGTTTGGTTGGAGAGGGAGGGAGCTTGTACATTTGTGTTTGTTAATATGCCCATGGAAGAAGTGCTTGCGAATTTATAAAAAAAGAGGCATATAGGGATGGTATAAAAAGAAAGGGAGACAAGATGGGGATGGGATAGATGAAACATGGTTATGAACAGATTTAAGTACGCTGACAACCCCCAACCCCATCACAACAATCCCTATATTGTTGCCTAGGTGAAGTACTAAACATTCAACATTGCAAAATTGTCTAGCGAGTTTATTGTTAGTACGACAAAACAGCCAACATGTTTTATTGCCCCAATTCACAATTACGGCAAGCAGACTACGAGTTTTTTTGCCACCTCACCTAGTCAGAAGTCACTACATAGAGCCTGTCTTCTCCGGTGATGATGTGGCTATGGTGGCCTGGAGTTTATTACAGACGGAATCCTGCAGATACCAAATGGCATGGGGTACCCTAGAGTTACTAGAGTGCACTGGGGGGTACACTGGAGTTTACTAGAGAAATTACTGAGGGAGTTTACTAGTGGCCTATATACTAGATTACTGAGGGGTACCCTGGAGTTACTAGAGAAATTACTGAGGATATTTTTAATATTTCACGAGTACGGGAAAGCAGCCTACATATTTTTTTGCTATTTTGCGAGCACAGCAAGCAGTCTACAATTTTTTTTCCCCGCTAAGCAACAAATGTGTTTTTTTGCCCAGCCTACGTGACTTCCCATTAGATACACAGGTATGCATGCGAGCAGCCCTTGAATTTGTGCCATAATATTATATTACGACAACGGCAACGAGTCTATACGTTTTCCCCCATTTCATGGGTACGCTAAGACACCAATTAGTTTTTTGTGAGTATGGTAAGCAGTTGAACGTGTTTTATTGCACATTCACGAGTACGGCTACGAGTTTTTTGCCCATTAATTGGTGAGCCAGCACAATACTACAGAGAAATGAGGGAAAAAGTGAAGAGTTCACTGATAGTCAGAAGTCACTACATAGAGCCTGTCTTCTCCGGTGAATACAAAGACATTTGGAGCAGTTTCCTTTCTCTGGTGTACAGACATAGTGATAGACTGCACTGCACGACGGACACTGGGGAACAAGAATAGACAGCAAAAACATGCTCTGGTGCGTTAAGGCCGTGTCCGCGAGCAGCAAACCGGAAGCTGGAGGACGGAACTCACGTACACGCCCCCGTAGTAACGTTTCACGGAAATATACGGAATAACGCCATGTATGGACGTCATTTACGAATATGCGCATGCGCAGAACGCGGACGGGTAGTAGTTTTTCACAACTGTTTTCGCTTAGGCGGAAGGGTCCGCTTAGTCTTTAGCTACCTTTTTACGTTAAGAAAGACAAACGCAAAAGTCCTCTGACTGTGTTATCCAACGGGGAAGGTGAGCAACTTGACAGTTTAGATGCAGGGCCCGTTTTTATCGTAAAACTGGGCGCGTTTCGATATTTTAGTTCGTTATCGACGCGTTATTATTTTTTTCATTTCCCCCGTTGGATAAGGATTTACTTTAGTATGTACTTGTTTCTCTGAGCTCAAGATGAATTCTTAATTCGAAGTGTAAGCAATCCGCCTAACACGCATATACGAATACATGTAAACAAACAAACAAATAATGTGGGCGTGGTCACAATTTGTTAAGGGAGTTAAGACCTATGAGTTTTATCACGTTACCAAGTTTGAAAGTAAAAGGTAATGTGACACTCTCAAAACAAACAAAAATCTGAAATTTTCCATGATTTTTATGCACCCAGGCCTTAATGCACTAGAGTGGGATAGTGAAAATAAAATGAAAAGTAATGTCAGTAATGAAGAAATGTAACAGAAGAAGGAAGGCATGCTCAAGTGGGAAATTTCAAAAACCTTACCCTTATTTAGAATTGTGTGAGGCAAATGGTATGAACAGTGCTGTCTACATAATGTGCATTAGTTGAGCATTTGAACCTGGTATGTGTCTCGGAGGTCAAAGGGGTAAATGATGTTGTTCCCATGGCAACCTTCACATATGAACCCCTTCTGAGAACAGAGCTGCAGAAGAGACAAGTCATGTAAGAAGTTAGGCTGGGGGACCGAGGAAGAAATTTGGTGAAGAAGGATTGAACGAAACATAAGAAGTAAGGCTATGGGATTGAACAAAGCGCAGGGAGAGAGAAGGGAGGGAGGGGGCAGGCAAGAATGAAAGAAGGCATTAATAGGGAAGGGTGGAGGTGTTGTGTCTCACTGGACATTGTCTGACATGTGTGGAGACAGTTCTGACCGTCTTCCTCATCCTCTCCAGCAGACCTCCCGAGTGGACCTCACTCAGCTCCTGTACTCACACACAAACCACAGTCATGCAGACTGACATTGACTCAGTCAGCTATTGCTCCCTCTCAATCTACTGTAGTTACAATGTGAGGTCAAATTGAAAATTTGCTGTGTAGATAACTTGAGGTCAGATTTGACCTTGTAGAACTGGTGAAAGTTTGCTATGTATAATATATTAGTAATAGGGGATAAGTACAGTGTGTTCTGTTGAACAAAAGTTAGCTTTCAGCAAGCACTTAAACATGGCACAGAATTAGTGAGGTGTCCTTTTTGCAGACATTGAACTGTTCATATGGAAACAAACATGTCCTGGTGAGTATACAGGGGTGTGGGTTCGTACTAATACAATCTCGCTGTCCCTCCCACCCAATGAATGTCTCAACAACTTGGTAACGAGGTAGAAAGGCAAACAAGTCAACTACACCCAGGACAGCTCTTTCTTTTCGAAGAGCTACCCTAGGTGGGTGGGATTCAAACCCACGACACTCTGCAGTCTAGGTGAGCGCTCTGCCAACTGAGCTACCAGGGCAACTCAGCTGGTAGGGGTTCGAATCTATAACACAACACAAGGCAAGCCCCAAACCACTGTGCTATGGCACAGTACACTCTCACTTAGTGTATGTATGTATTGTACTTACCTCTTTGTCAGTAGTTGGAGAGAGTCTTCCTGTCTACAGGTTGCTAGGTAACCTCTCAGGGAGTTCAGCTGTTGCCGGAGCCTCTGTGGAGTCACATGATCAGTCACATGATCACAGAATAACACCAAGAAATAATACTCCTTCAGTAAAACTAAAAAATTTTCCGAAATGGCGTTCTCACCAGTGCTTCTTCCAGCTCAGGGATGTACATGTAGAGGGCTGGGTTACTCTCTTCTACGTTCAGAACTGCTGAGTCGGCAATACTGTCGAGGAACTCGCAGCTGGCACGACAGACGCGGTGTCTCCTGAAGTCCAAATTAAAGAGCACCCTGGAGGGGACGATTCGCTCGTCGTCGCTGGCAGTCGAAACAGTAGTACTGTCTGTTGTACTTGCACAGTTTGGACGCTCCAAATACTGTGGAGAATGGGGGGGAAACAACAATAGCATGAGATTTTCAAAGAAACGACTCACTTTCTACAGTAATGTTGTGTTTAGAGACAGTGCTAAAAACCCACTCCATTTCCTAATTTCTCATACACTCACTTTGTTTCCAACTCTTGAACACAGCATTTTAACTAATGAATTGGTATATAGGTGTAGCTACAAAATGAAAATCCATAATCTCTAGTCGAAATTCTGACACTTTACGTTGTAGCATCGATCATCCTCACAATGTTGGATGTGCATGCCGTGAGCCCTCTCGGGCGTTTAGAGTTCACAGACTATTCCGTTCTAACTGTTTTTGTAGATGTCGTAGATAAGGATTGTAGATGTTGTAGATAAGGATTTGGTAGGATGATGTAGATACATGTAAGAGGACTCACTGACTCCGATGGGCCTCCGACATTGCGGCAACAGCAGTAGTTCGAGAGTCGAGTCCTCTCTCGGGGACCAGTTTGGTGAGGAGAGAGGTGAGGGTTCTGTGGACAGGGCTACCTGTCTTCTCGGATACCACTAATATAGTAGGAGGAGAGGGAAGGGAGAAGGATGTCCATTGATGACACGTGTAATACGCACCCTCAGTAAAACAGTTGGAAATGTCCCTTGTTGGGAGGTTGCGTGTAGGATGTATATATTAGGTGACAGAACCAATGTGTGTGTGTGTGACATGATTATCGATAGTAACATTGTGTGTGAATATAACACCTCAAAGTCTAGAGATTTGGCATAGGAAAAGTCACTCAGATCCCTGTCCTCTGTTGCCACGCCCACCACCAGCAGAGCTACGACCTGTGGTGCCCCTCCTTCCTCCTGCTGTGATACTGCCTGGGGAGAGGAAATGAGCTAATTGACTCCCTCCCTCCCTCCCTCCCTCCCCACTTTGCCAACCTCTCTGGAGATGATCTGGGTCTCTGAAGACTGAGAGAGAGATGAGACCGCGAGTAGCGCGAGAGCCCATGTGACCACACCCACTCCAAACGACTGGTCGGAGGTGGACTCACCCTCTCTCCGTCTGTGGTCAGAGGAATGCAATTAACCCCTGAAATAAGTCCTTTTTTGTATACCGTGCTCTAATATGTTGTTGAAACCTGAAATAAGGCATCTCACGATTAGTCTATTTTCTTCTGTCCATTGGTAAAAACCTGAAATAAGTAATACAGACACTTTTCTTCTGTCCCATTGGTGTCCAGATTAGAGAGGTTCACATGTGTAATTCAGCAACTCGTGCTATGTAAACCTACATACACACCTCTCCTGGTGTTTGGGGAGATGAGTCCTGCCAAATCCGCCTTCTGTAGCACCTGTGAACACACACACACACACCACACACACAGACACACAGAAGTAGTAAAAAGAGAAGTTGTCATGATAGCTGTCTGCAAAAGTTTCATGCGAACAGTACGGGCACAGACATTATATAACATGACCCAACAATCTGAGAATGTTTTTCAATATGAAAGCCACCAAAAATGAGAATTTAACAATTAAACCCTACATACCACTCCCATACCTAATGACCTGCTGTTGTTTTAACATCAAAATGATACTCACAGAGCTGTCCCAAGTTGTAAGAGATGAGATTGTGTAGTCATAGCCCAGTTGAATAGTGGACAGTCCTGATAGAACGGAGCAGATAAGTATCGTCCAATCCATGGATTGGACAGAGTAATTGCCCAATCCATGGAGTTATTGTCCAATCGATTTGACAGAGTTATCATTCCAATCCATGGATTGGACAGAGTTAGCATCCAATCCATGGATTGGACAGAGTTAGCATCCAATCCATGGATTGGACAAGCAGGTGTGTGTATATATCAAATATACCATCTCAAAAGTTGGATGACAATTTCTAGTCTCTCGGCATCTCTGAGCGCAGATTCCCCCGCCGTAATGGAACCTTGGAAAGAAAGTGAGATGACTAGTACAACCTCTGCATAAGGGACCCTTTTTATTAAGTAATTGACCATTGACAATGCTCAAAAGTAAAACTTGGTAGTGCACCTTTACAATGTGCTACATATGTATTTGCCTTAAAAAGAGAGAATGTGTTCTACTCCTACTAAGAGTACAAATAGATCTCTGAAACAACCTTCACTGATGAGAAGTAAACTTTGGTAGTGCAGCTTAAAACGTGCTATATAATATGTGCTAGAGAAAGTGTGTGTGTGTGTGTGTGTGGTAACTGACGAGAGGAGTCCAGGATGTCGCTGAAGGTCCTCCAGAAATGACAGGAGGAGAGATTTGTGAGCATTATCCTCAGCCAAGACTGCAGCAAGAGAGAGAGGAGAGAGAGGAGAGAGAGAAGGGAGGGAGGAAAGAGAGGAATGGATACGGATATATAAGAATGCAATACAACAACTTCCCATACATCTATAAGGCTAGGTACAAGCCCATCCCTATATACTAAGTACTACCATACTAGTGATAGAACGAATGCCGTTGGTGAGTAAACTAGTGAAATTCGTATGTGAAGCATTACAGTATGGATAGTTTCACTGTATAACATGGAAGAAGAAGGAGGGAGAGAGAAGAAGAAGGGAGAGAATCAGACTCACTCTACATTTCATGACGTCAGATTCGGAGTCCCTGAGAGCCATTAGCTGTGTCTTGATCTCGTCTGACACCATTGGCTCTATGAACACCCAGAACGACTGGAGAGAACGGTGTATAGTGGGAAGAGGGGAGAGGGTTAAGAAGCAAGGCATTGGGTCTAGGTTGCTATTCCACCCTCCAAATATAGCCTGAGTATTGGGATGCTTGGTTTGTCATTTCGTTTACTCACGTGCCTGCAAAAAACGCAAAACCGTTCAAACCCTTTTAGGACCTTCGTATGAGAACTATCACAAGTTTGAAGAAGAAATCAGTAGACAGAGGAGAGAGAGGGAGAGAAACTAACAGGTTGTGGAGGGTTGATCATATTGGGTCTCCTTGTCCCGCTTCACAACTGGCCCTGTGAATTGAGTGAGACAGACAGAACTCCCCTCGTCACACAATGATCACCTCTTTACACAAACAGACACAATGGGTGGGAATTGCCATTCAGTTGTTGGTTCAGGCAGGCAAGAGGTTAAATGGGACCAATACTTTGTACTTTCTCACATTTCCTTATAGTATATAGAGGGTTTATTTGAATTGACACGTATTATAACCAAAATGGATTTTCATTGCCACATATATACATACACGTTTGTTTTAGCACACGACTGCACCGGAAGACTTCTTGTGCAGTGAAAAATATCATAAAGTCAACAACAAGATATACATCTTTTTCCACTTTCATCTTCAACGACTCTTGCATGCTAACTCATTCAGACATTCTCCAAGACAAATCCTCCGATGTGACGTTGGGATTGGCGGAATGATAATTTTTTTTATACCTTTTATACCCTTTTTATACCTACACATCTCTCTCTCTTCTTCCTCTTTCTCTCTCTCTCCTCTCTCTCCCTCTCCTCACCAACTGCAGGTCTGTAGGGACTTGAAAACTGGCTAACAAACAGCGGCTGTTAGCAGCTGAACTGAAGGAACGGATGCACGCGAGCTAATTCCTCTACACGCGTGCAAAATCCTCTGCCACGCGCGCTAGACGTTTATTCTAGTTTTCAACACATGACTAATTAATTGCACACTCTACAGCTATCGTCCACTGTACAGTGTTAGACAGACCAGAGGCTGCCTGGCCGTCTGGTTGAATTTAGTTATTTTCAAGCCGATAACTTATAGTTGGTGTTTCTTGTACACATACAGATTGTTTATTGTTTACACTAATTATCAATATTGTGTACTGCGTGTTCTTAGAGATTTCCTATAAATTTGATATAATTATATGTGGGAAGTGATACAATACACTAATGTACTAAGCCAAGTGTCGTTTATAGAGAGGTGTGCTTTATTTGGAGGATTCTTCAAAATTTTTGAAACTAGGGGAGGGGACTGCAATAATTATTGGAGTGGTGGAATAATTATTGTTGCAACTAGAGGAGTAATCAATACCATGTCTGACTTAATAGAGAAATGGTCACAAACATAAACAGTGACAGTTATGACAGGGAAAGAGGTTGAGGATTTCACTAGAGGAAGTTAGTTTTTGTACGCATGCGCAATAAAATTGAGGATCACGAGGGAAACTTCTCCAAATAAGGCATCCTTCAGCTACGCCCCCTTTCTATGTCCTCGGTGGTCTTTGTGCCCGCAAAACGCCCCTTCTTCGTTTCTCTTCCTACCTCACATCGAACAATCGTGTTGGTGCCCAGAGATGGCTACTGGTGGCGGGGACCAAGTCTGGACGTGGAAGAAACGTAAGACAGTCGCCGCGAGCCGCGCTCCCCCACGTAGGAAATAATGAGATTATGACTGTGCCTGTAGTTAGCTCTCCTTCTTACATCGACAGTGAATGGTAGTGCTGTCTGATAGGCTAGCAGGTCCCTGGGGTGAGAGCTTGAGTTTTTTTTTATTTTTATATGATGTCATCACTTTAGCTAGCTATAATTATAAACATTTTTGTTAGTGATGATGTCATTGTCTTTCCTCGCAGCACTCCCTCCAAGTAAAGCCGCACTCAGGAAGGTCTTTGAGAACACCAGTAACCTCAGTCGCCTCTGCACCGTCTCTCCATCCCTCATGATAAGTGGGATGTTGACAGTGCAGTAGAGTACTATGTACAGAGTACACATCCAATGAAAATGAGAAAGATGATATTCTGTCTGGACTGATTGGAGACACAGTTCTAGCAGACTCATTGATGGAGTATGCAGAGCCCCCAGCAGGTATGGCTACAATAGAGAACACAACACAGCCAGTCAATTGTATACCTCTGGCTATATTGAAACCCACCACAGCATGAGCTGTGTGTACATCATCAGGGGTTCATTTAGATATCGATCCAAGGGGGGGGCAAAATGAAATAAAGGGGGGCAAAGCTGTATCTGTGTGTTTGAAGCACACGGCAAGTAGGGGGTTCTGGAAGCATGCTCCCCCAGGAAATTTTTAATGCTCTGAGATTGCTTCTGGTGTAGTCTCAGGGTCTTTCTAGAGAAGTTTTAATTTTTCCAGCTTAAATAACTGTAAAAGTGACTGTGTGGCAATAGCACACTGGAAAACTTACACCTAGGTAAGTCTTGCACAATCAAAGTATGTAGTTTACAAGTCTTGTGAATGATGTCATTACTTGGACTAAAAATAGTTGCCAGCTGCCTAGCTGTGAAGTATGATATTATGTGAGTCGGCTTTAGTTAAGCAAGTCTATGTCGATATGGGCATTAGATCTTACTTTAGAAGCTCCTGTAAACCATCTACGATTGTATATACGGTACCAGTCAAAAAAAATGCACCGTAGTTGTGTTACAACTCCAAAACTTAAAGGTGTTGCTATTGTATTGTACTCAGTGCTTGCATGAAGTTTTGGCCTTTTACGACCGGTACACATGTGGCGCTGTTTGGTTTAACCACTGTAGTAACATTACGTACAATCCTTGCTGTAGTACGTAGGTATGCTGTAGTGTTGCTACATAAGTGCATTTTATCACTGTAGGACGTGTAGCTACACCTGTCTGTACATTGTATGCACCTACCGTATGGTTAATACGTAGGTACGTAGTACAGTCACATTTGGGTAGATTTTTGTTTCTCACTGTAGTTTATCTGTAACTACACACCTGTAGAAAGGTCGTGAAACAGTTCAGGAAATAGTAATTACTCCCTTTTTCATGTGTACATTGTGCTGTTGTGTAGATCTGGTTTCTACACTAAAAGCTGGAAATACGGTGCATTTTTTTTGACTGGTACCGTACCTACTGGTTTAGGTGGCATAGTGACTATAGTGTGTGGTACTGTAGTTGCTGCAGTTGCACGCCAGTCAGGCTTGATTTGCATACTTAAAGGTTTACTCTAACTCCAAGAGAGAGGGGGGCGAGATTTGATCAAGGGGGCGAGAGCGCCCCCTCTGCCCCCCTCCCTAAATGGACCCCTGATCATGTAACATGTGGAAGACTAGATTTGTGAAACTGTCTGAAGTAGCCTTCTTCCCTGACTCTCCCTCTGCATTATAATAGGTTTTGCTGGAAACAAAAAGCACTGAAGTATAATAAATTATTATAATACAAAATCCTTAATGAAAAGGCCACCCTCGGTGCAAGGATCGTGCATGCAGCGTTGATATGCACTTTACACATGCTCTTAACATTATTAATGTTTGGGAATAGATTAGTTTCAATTGATGACAGTGGCTGGTCCTCTCCTCAGATCCATCCCTCAATCCACACCTCCTCATACCAGTCTTTACTGCCATATCTGGAGACTGGTGGGAGATTGATCGCAACACTACAGTACCAGAGGCCAGGGCTGCTCTCTTCCGTGAGAAGTTCAGTGATCGTGATCAAGTCACTGCTGAGGCTGGGAAGTACTACGCTCTCTATCATCCTTATCCCAGCTGGAAATACTTATCCCTCTGGCTCTATAGAGCAGGAGAAACAAAGGCTGTGGGGATTGCCAAACCTCACGTACAGACTGTGACTGGTATGTAATAAAAATGTACACTTGAAAATTCTTCGAATAAAAAAAATGGTTAATATAGGGATGGATTAAAAGCAAGGAGACAAGACAGGGATGACCTAGTGCAGTAGTACAATAGATGATGGCTACATATTTCAAACTGACGTTGCCGCTCATGTACATTTTCCTCCACACAAGCCCTTTATTGTCGCCACTTTTATGGTGTAAAGTGTGGAGGAAAATGTACATGAGCGAGCACTGTCATTTTGAAATAATATGTAGCCCTCATTTATTGTATATACTATTGCATCACATGCACTAGGTCATCCCTGTCTTGTCTCCTTGCGTTTTATATATTTACCAATTTCTGTATACTCAATACACTCACATGTTTACATATACCACGTCAAACATTTTTGTGCTGAGTGCTGAGTTGTTGGATAACCCACATACACATGTTATAAACAGGCGCACATCAATTAGAGTACATACTGAGTAATAAATCTAACTTGCGTTAAATTTCTGACAGAATTATTTACGGAGTTTCTAGTAACAATGTTTACATGTACTACTTGTACTTTATGTGTTAGGAACACATGTAGTAACAACAGTTCCAACACACTGTCCTGTATTTGGCCTACACTCACACATGTACATTGTACTTGTGTGTACTGCCCTCCCTGATCCCCTCCCCAAAGACCTGCACTTGAGAGTCAGCTAAAACTGTGTGTCATGCACTGGACCATTACATGTGGACTAACACATTCACTGTGTCAATCATGTCTTCATGCATGTTCAACGAAGCATACCTCTGTGTACTATGGATGTTACTAATTTTAGCAGCTGTGTGTATTAATATTCATACCTAACCTTGCCTATACATTTGTGATAGGAAACAATAGTCACTGAATATTCTCCCTCTCTCACTCCTCCAGACCCCAGCCTGACTCCAGCCAACATCCTACAAGTCACACGCCATGTCCCACTGTGGAGGAGTGGGATTCCTACAACTATCTTGACATGCCACAGAGCCAGCATGATGAGATAGTAGGAAAGTTTGATGATGATGAGGAGGCGAAACGAGAATTGATCACTACATGGCTGGCCGGTCACCCCTGTCCTACCTGGGAACACGTTAGGACCTACTGGAGGATGGAGTTGGGGGTGAGGAGGGAAGAGAGAGCAGCACGTGAGGTGGAGGAGACATACCTCAAGAGTGAGTTAGTAATCATTACGTTTGTCAACAACAACATCGAGTTTACATTATGATTGTTGTAATGACATGATTCGAAGGGTGATAGTGAAGCCAGTGCTATATCTTTAGCTAAGCATTGTTCATTGGACACATGCAGCTTCAGTGTCACAATGTAAAAGTTCGAACAGTTTTCTCCTAAAAACGCTCCGTTGCAAAGCTAGAGCGCGCAAAAACCATTTCAATCCCACAACGGCTTTACTACAGCAATGATCAGGCTCTGACGTACCAGAAGA